GGGGAGGGGGCGGGGAGCGGGAGACCCGCCCACGGCTCCGGCTCTGCCCCTTCCTTCCCCCTCCGGGATGAGCCGGCCGGCTCCTCCCTCCTCTCTGCACTCCCGGCCGGGCTTGGATGCGCGGACTTCCCACGGGCGGCGGCAGGTCTGGCTCCCGGGGATCCTGGGCAAGAGGAGGGCCCCATGTTGCAACATTTTGGGGACCCCCTCCAGTGTGGGGCTCCGGGCGGTCCCCTAAGGAGGTAGAGCGGGGTGGGGGGCAGCCGCTGGCCGTGCCCGCCAGCCCGGGAAGGACAGCCTTGAAGTGGGTCTCGCTGCCTAGGCTCTGGGTTCTTGCAGAAAGGGAGGCCTGGCAGCTAATGCCCCCCTACCCGTCAGCGTGGTACCTAAGTGCCGCTGGATACTGCTCGCTTGACCGGTTCTGCTTGACCTTAGGCAAGGAGGAGGTGAAAACACTTTCAAAGGTGCCTTCTGGGGTTGTTACGTCGCTTAAGCAAGGATCCTAGAGGGTTAAATGTTCTCCAAAGAGATTGTGCTGGGTGGATGCAGTTTATCTGTCTGTAGATAAAAGTGGTGCGTGGGGATTCGGGAAGAGACACCACTTGCTATTTCATGACTGTTCTCTCCCTTTATTGCAGACAGCTTGGTACCAGACTGGAGGTCTGCAACTCCACGTAGTCCAGAAGCAAAGTGGAGTTAGCGTTGTCACCGCTGACAAAGCAGTAATAAAGGAGGCACGTGAGAGCAATACCGAGGAATTGGGGGTTCGGTGCAACTGGGGCTGGTCACTCTCAGCTGGTCATCTGTCCCTAGGAAATGCCTTGTGCCGGGCTGTTTGCTTATAATCAATCTGAACTGGAAAACAGCAAGGTTCAGTAACGGGCTGATGCAGTTTCGCTGGCCTCTGCTTATAAAAACAAGCAGGTCCCAGAGGCAGATCAGTCCGTAACAAGAATTTTGTTCCTCGGGTGCAAAGAGCCCACACCCAGCAGCACAGAGCAGTTTACCTAGGCTGTGTATTTCCATCAATGTCATAACAGGCTGGAGCTAACTCTTCACATACTGTGATGATCAGAGCCCCATAAATCCTTCCTGTGGATAATGTATAATCCCAGACATACGTGCGTACAGCTCGCGTGCATCCACGTATTGACTGATAGCCAACTGCTACCCAATGGAGAGAGAAAACATTTAGGGGGATGAGGAATGTCAGGGCAAGTTACCAAAATAAGCTGGAGTATGAGTGTTGTGTACAAGAGCCAGCGAGAGGGCTTGAGTCATCCTCTGCTCTCAGCATTTCATTCATCTCCTGATGATGCTCTGAAGACTCAGAAGGAGCTGTTATGCATCCTGTCGGTGCTATTACTCCGCAGATCTTTGATGGGATCCATTGCAGCGGCTGGCAACGTGTCTGCCAGGCTGCAGCTTGGAATATTACTGGCTTAAAACAGACAGGGAGGCTACAAACATTGCAAGCTAAAAAGCTAATCGTCTTTTTTGCTATAAACACATTTACGTTACCGGGCAGGTGTGTTTTCCAAGCAGACGGACTGCAAAACTGTTCTCTCAAATACAGTCTTTTTTTTTTCCCCCTTAGAGGATCCCAAAAAGCCTGTCCAAGACATAAATGACTTTGCCGACTTCTAGACATGGCTAGAAGTACTGAAACCCTCACCCTCTGAAAGCTCGGTTTTCTCTCCTCTAGGCTTCCCAGAGCAAGGCCATCTCATTCAAACCAAAAGCTTTCTGAGGCAGAGGCTGTTTGTGTTTGTGTGGCTTGCACAAAGCTGAGTGTCTTAAATAAATAATAATGATCCTGGAATGGAAATGTGGATACTCTGCATCCTGAATATCCCCCAGAGAATGGCTGCAGCTCCCTCATTTTTTTCCCTCGCCTTAGTTCCCTTATCTTTTTCACATCCTCACTGCAGGTCTAAAGTAGTACTGGAGTAATGAAGCCATAATTTCTGATTTCTCCTGCTTGTGACATTTTCCCTGGCTCGCCTGTCTACTTTGTGGTCCTTTGCACATGCCTAAGGGCTGCAGTGTTGTATCCTCAGCTGTCACTATGGTCTGGGATAAAATCTTACAGCTGTCCCCTTTCGTCAGTCCTCCCTTCGCCACCCAAGGTCTGCGGTCTAGGTCCAAACCCCTGCAAAGGGATGATTTGACTTGTTCCAGCCTAACTCCTGGGATATGAGCAGCAACCCCAACATAAACATGTCTGCTCCCACAGGAGTGCACCATGACTCCACAATGATAGACTTCCTGGCCATCCCAAGGTTTCCAACCACAGCCCAATCCCACAGGGAACAATGTTGGATTCATTTTGAGAAGCAGCTGGAGAAACCATACCCACAAAGCTTGTACTGTGCCCCTGGCAACAAACCTAGCCAGCCCTCCCACATGCACATCTGGGGGCTAAAGGTAGAGCAAACAGGTTGTTTGCCACCGAGAGGTCATGGGACCAAATTTAAAGGAACTGAACTGTGCAGGGGGAAAAGTTAATCCCCAATTAGAGCATTTTATTGACTCTGCAGCCAGCTCAAACTTCTGACTCATTAGCCCTCCAAAAAGTGATTGTACTTTTCACATCTTTCCCTTCCTCAAGCGTCAGCTGAAACAGTTTTAAAAATATCTTTGCATGCAGTTTGGGGGCATTGTCCGAATAATTATCAAGAGAGCGATGAGACTAAATTGGCTTGCAAGGAAGTCTATCACATTGTGTGGGCTGAGGAAGCAAACAAAGATGAAAACACCCTTTCTCTGGCAATCTAGAGAGACCAACGTGCCCATGCAGTAGCGACTGCCTTTGCTGGTTTTGTTTCATAACCCTGATCTGGGTCCCATAACAGAAGAATGCTGCCAGGTCCTGTGATTAGTGCATTGCCGTGTAAGACCTGCATGCTGCAAAGGTGCATCTGTTTTATTCAGGCTTTTCCGTAAGAGCCAGCTTGGCTTACCTTCCACAATCCAGCCTGTTGTTAATGCCGTTCTCAGCTGCTCAGTCATGGCTCTGGTTGGGGGACTGCTGACGTGCTTGCTTGACATGGGCAGAGCAGATCCCACAATACTTGCTCCCCTTTGCAGAGGAGTGGTCAGTTAGTGCTGTTTCCCCCCCTGTCAAGTCCCATGGAGATTTAGCTGCCCTCAGTCATTGTCTGTATTTACCAGAGAGAGACTATGGGTCCTCCTGCCAACAATACGCACAATACCCAGCTGTGTAACTCATTTTCTGCACATGCAGCCAAGACCAATGCGGGGATGTCAGTGCAGAGAGGAGATCAGTGTCTGGATAAAAGGCGGCTGGCTCCAACTCGGTGCAAGCAAGGCCAAAATGACATTGGCCAGGAGGGGAAAATATTTCAAAGCACCAGCTGGCACATTGGGCTCCTTCCTATCATAGGCAGCATTACAGCAGTACAAAGACATCAGTCCTGCTGGACTCATTGCTGGCCCTGGATATCCAGGTATTGACAGTGTCCAGGAACTTCACCTTCTACTTACAACTTGCTAGGAGCTATAGTCCCTGCATCTCAGAGGAGGATTTGCCCACAGTGATCCAGTCATTTACTACCCTGCCTTCATTACTGTAACTCCCTCTATCTGAGCCTGAAAGTGGAAACAATGCATAGGCTCCAGTTTGTGCAGAACACAGCAGCCTGACCCTTCAGTGAGTCAGACCACTGCAAGCTCATCAGCTGGGCACCAATCTTTTCTGCTGACATGGACCTGATTTCCAAGGCTGCCAGTGGATCAGGATTGAGCTACGTCAGTGGTCAGTTCTTCACCCATGACATGGAGCAGGGATGTGCCCCTGCAGCATTCCTTCCTGCAGCCCCTCAACAAAGGGGACAACCCCGGAGGAAGTGAGCGATTTGCACAAGATGACCAAGAGACGGGCAGAATAAACACTGGACCTGGGACTCCAGCTAGCTCCCTAACCACCAGATCATATTTCCTTTCATATCATAGAGCCAATGCCCAAAATTCAGCTCAGACCTTGCTGCCAATCACTAAGCCTGTGGCCCCACAGGTCAAGATGGAGGGGAAATATTTGCTGAGTGAGAATTTCTATTACATGCCCAGACCCAAAGAGGTTTCATTTCTGGCTTGTACTTTGAGCCTTAAACAGAAAGCATTGCTCTCCACCCTGGCCCCGCAGCTGATCTGAGATGTTACGTCAAGAGTACAAGAAAGAAATGTTTGTTGCAGGAGTTTGGAAGCTCCTATTATTTCCTCCCTTAGATAAGGTCTCCGTGTCTAGGTAGAGCTGGGCCAGTGAATGGACAAAAACAAAATAGCAACAACAGACACGGGAAGAGTGGGGCAGGATTTAAACAACAGCTTGATGTCCACAGTCAGGTGAGTTTGGGGCTGGCAAAAAGAGCAGTCCCAACAGCTCTGGAAACTGAAGGAGGCAGGTTTGCGAAGGTACACAAGTATCATAAGATACAGACAGGGCATATCTACACATGCATTTATGCCAGTTAAATTTACTGCACGGTAAGTTACTGCGCAGTAAGCGGGAGTAGGCCGGCATCTACATGTGCACACATGAAAGCACATTAACACTGCATGTGGACTGACTTGGGACTAAAGTTAGTCCCAAGTCAGTCCACACACACAGTGTTACTGCACAGTAAGGCGTCTACATGCGTGTTACTGCACAGTAACTAACTGGGCATAAATTTGATACCTGCATGATGTAGGTATCAAATTTACATTTAAACTGGCATAAGTTGCCACACTTACCGCACAGTACAGGCATGCACATATAGATGTGTGCCTGCCCTGTGCAGTCAGTTTGGTTACTACGCAGTAAATGCACACATGTAGACGCACCCACAGATGCCTATTTGGATTTTCAAAAGTGCCTTGATGCCTTCAAAAGCTCCAGCTTGGCCTAAAATGCTCTGTTCATTTTCAAAATCCCTTGGGCCAGATCCCCAAAGATGCCTAGCTCCCATCCTTTAGAGATCAGAGCATCTCTCTGCTTCAGATGCCCAAGCATGGAACAAACCCTACAGGAGTAGAGAGAGTGCAGGCTTCTCCACTGCTGCCCCATCAATGTACTTTTAGTTCTTTGGGTCTCATATAATCTTGCCCTTGGCCTCTCTGCCCCAGGGGCATCGGAATGGCTTTTTTTCTCTAAAACATTCCCAGATGAATGCAATAGGAAGCAAACTGGGATTTGGTGGTGGAGTGCATGTCCTTGATTTTTCAATCTAGCTGAGCTGTACTTGGTCAGAACTAGGTGCAAAAGTCACTGAATGTCACCTTTGCGCCTCTCCTCTGATGCATGGGCCGGTTTTCTTAAGTAAGAACAGGTTCAAGGCAGCTCTAACATAGGCTAGTTTATAAGGATGCCAAAACGCTGTTAGATCATCTAGGGATTACCAGATATCAGCCGTACTGTGGCCACTGCCATCTCTCCCATTCCATGTTTCCAAATAGGGGAAATCCAGAGGCCCAATTCAAGCAGCACAAAGGAGCTATAGCAGGGCCCAGGATCTAGTTTCACTGTCCCTTTCCCACACCCATCTAAAAGTTCCCCTTAAACAATCTGCTTGCAGCAGCCCCACCCTAAAATTAAATCTGTGCAGATGCTAAACTCTTCTCTGTAGATTTTCTTCTTCATGAAGGCAGCAGAAAGAAGATCCTTCCTGGTTCAGATCTCTCTCCTCTCTGCCAGGCTCAGCCTCATTACTCATTAACACCTTCTTTGTTAACCTGCAGCAGCCTGCAGTGCAAGGTCCTTGTTCAGAGCAGAAAGCACACAGTTGTTCTCGCACCCTGCCCCAGCCAGTCACACCTAACTAATCTGCCCAGTGACATCTCCTCTGTTTTTCATCTCCTGGGCCACAGCAAACACCTTTCAGCTGTGACTTATGAGCTAGTGATCAAGGCAGTCTCAGACAGCTGGAAAGAATCCACTGCACAACTCCTGTTAATTTTTACCTGTATTGCTCTCTACACCCAGCTGCACACCGAAGAAGCAGTTTGATCTGTGTCCTGCCCAGACAAGCCCTGGCTCCGGGATCCCTCCTGGCTGCGTGTATTGACTGGAACAATAATGACATGGTGACTTCCAGTGCCTTCCAGAGAGGTGTTTTTGACACTAAGGTGCCTTTGAGAACAAGCCATTTGCCCAAAATAACCCAACAGTGAAGGAGCAGCCCAGTCTGTGTCTCTGCTAACTCACTAAACTCAGGAGACAGAAAAACCCAGCTACAAGCCCTTTACACATGCAGTGTAGCACAACAGCAGCTATAGTGTCTAAGCCCAGGCTATCTATGAATCACTGGAGGGCAATTTGTCTGATTAGAGTGAGGGGCAGCTCCCTGGACGGTCTTCAGACTTCTGCCCCATTTGTTTCATGGAGACAACAGTAACTCGCAGAACTGTGAGGGTTAAATAAGTACTATCCGTGAACTGCTCTAAACTCTGTAAACAACGGGAACGTAGAGGATGGAAATGCCAGGCCAAAAATCCCATGTTCCCACAGTCAGAGATTATGAGGATGACTGATGTTGGACATTGCGGTAGCATCTAGGGCCTCCAGCACGGACTCGAACCTCACCGTGCTGGGCGCTGTACCGAGGCAGAACAAAGAGGGGGTCGCTGCCCCAAAGTGTCTACAGTCTAAGTAAGTGCAAGTGCATCCGCTTAGCTCTAACACACGGCTGTCAAATGGGGCAAGTTTTACAAGGACTCCCCATGAGGTGCAAAAGCAGGCAGGACCAGAATCTGCAGCTCCTCGGCTCTCAGGTGGTTGTAGCAATAACAGTAGTAGCCGTGGCAGCTCTCCGTAGAGGGGGGCTTCCTACCACCACACTGCCCACTCCCAGCCTCCAGCACCCATGAGTCAGCTCCACAGGAACTGTGAGGTTGACTTCAAAATCACAAACTTTAGTTTTTGTTCTCATCATGTCTTTTTCTTTGTCCTCTGAGGCCTGCACCATGAGGCTATCTATGCTCAGGGTCAAAATGCCAAGCTCCTTTTTCAAAGGGCCAGGCAGGATTTTTAAAGGGAAGCTATACTAGCTTCAGTCCAGAAGTGGGGGCTTTAAGGCAGATGTCAGCTGTTGGGAGACTCAAGCAGCATTTGGTACCCCACTCCCAATGCCAAGGAGACAGGCAGGACTGGAAAAGAAAGGGGCTCTCTGCCAGGAGAGAGGGGGCACTGTGTTGACTCTCATCACACTGTTCTCCCCCCACACACACATACAACACGGATCTCAGGAGAGGGTTTTCCTCTTTTCCCCTTCCCTATCATGCTGTTCTTCTCCTCAAAACAGGGCCAGAGTAAGGAAAAACCAAGATCTGATTTTTGCTTAAGGAAAGTTTTATCTAGCCCAGTCAGGACACAAGTCCCTGGTGGTCTTTCACTGTTTCTTGTACAGCACCATGCATCCTAATGGAGAGCAACAAACAGGCAGGCTGTTGGCAAAACAGCTAGGGCTTTTTTTTTCTGTGCTTGAGAAGCAAAGGTACAGTAGTTCGCTAGGAATGCATGGGGAGTGGTTCACCCAGTGTGTGGAATTACAGGCAAGTTGCAACTTAAAAAAGCACCTTACCAAAGAAATCCCATTAGATAGCTGCGTGTTCCCCCCATTCCCCTTTTGCAATGCAGGGAAAAGCATGTGAGCCCTCTAGGTGAGGTATTTTGCACCCTCTGGATGACAAGGACTATCTCAGCACTAAGTGTTATGATTTCCTTCCCTGGCTCTCATGATAGCAGCTGCTTGTTTGTACATAAATTAAATAGCAGCATTTTTCTTTCTCACCAGCTTGCTCCATGCAGTGATATACACAGGCCAGGCCTGGAGATGTCCCACTTTAAAGTCTATTGTCACAGCTGCTGAATAACATCATCTCTTTATGAATGATTCAGGCCAAGAAAACAGGAAGACTAGAAAAGAGAATGCTTCTCCTTGAACGCAAACAGCTTGGAATTAAGTATGAAGGGGCAGGAAACACCAAAAAGCCTATGATGTTTTAGCAGAGCTGCCTGTCTCCGGCACATAAGAGTACCTAGGTGCACTGGGTCATGATGGCACTGGTGGTGGATAATACGGTATATTGACAAGCTGGCTGCGGTAAGATTGTGGGGGGAGTACATTGGCTTACAGTGAGACTCCCGAAGGAGGGACGCAGAAGCACAGTTGCCTGGTATAGGGCAGGTGGGAGACAGCTCCTGTTCCCAGCTTGCAGTGAGTTAGCCTTGATGGCTATCTACATACCCCAGCCCCAATTTGAGACTCCATTGCTGAGTTAGAGCAAGACATAAGCGCATGCTTAATATTAAGCACGTGATTAGATTCCACAGAATTCGGTGGAACATAATCACATGCTTAAAGTTCAGCATGGCCTGAAGTGCTTTCCTGAGTCAAGGCTCACGTGTATTTAACAGGAAACACTTTGTTTCACCCAGGACCTGCTAAGCCACTGGAACAGTGTGTATGCGAACGACCTTCTTGAGAGCCCTTGAAATAAGCTCTGTGAAACTCCTATGAGCTGCAGGAGGAAGGAGAGGCAGTGGCTAGAGTGAAAAGGAGAGAAAGCTTTGCGAAATGTGTCTGAAACCAGTGGTGAGCGGCCTGATCAGGAAGGCACTGCCAAGAAAGATCTCTTAATTTCAGAATCGATGCATCTAGAAGCATGGCCCTAAAGCCTCTTTCTTTGCTAGTTGTATTGAACCTGTTTGTCCCAGGTATCCTGGATTGGTAAAGATACATGATTGTTAGCAAGAGCTGGGCTCTTCCTTCAGTGTGTTGTTATTGTAGGGTTGCTCATGCATGCTGAGGTGCACATACACACGCACACGCATACTGGTTTGCTGTTGCAGGGGTGCTTGTGACTGTCAGGCTCTACAAAACCTGCTGGTTATTGGAAGGCTGCTGCTGTCGGGTAGGCCTGGGGAGTCAGGATGCTTTAGACAAGGAAGTAGTGTTGCAATTAATTGTAAAAAGAATCTAAAAATGATCTGGACTGTGCAAAGAGAGATAAAAAGGAAGGGATGTCATTCAGGTTTTGGACCTACTGCTGAATAAAGGCTGCTGCCTGTGCATGGTCTTATCTGACTTGCCGACATTCCAGCTCCAAAGCAAGCTCACTAGAGTGAAGCTGTAGGAATGAAGAAGAGAGGTAACTTTCTCTGTCACCTGCCAGGGGCTTAAATCAAGCCCATATCAGTCACTGAACTCTCTTCCTTCTGTAGAAGACTGAGAGCATCCTCAAAGACGGCTTGCTTTTTCTTCCTCAGTGCCTGACCCTGCCTCTGAGAGGCACAGAGTCATGTGAATGCAGGACAGAGTGGGAGGAAGGACCACCAGTTCCACCTCCTTTGGGGAAGAGATGTTTGGCATCAGGGAAAAGAACTGGGGGCTCACTCTGCACAGCATCCCCCCCTCCTAAAAAAAAAGCCAGGAGCAAAGGAGACCTGAAGCATAGAGACCACGCTTATTAGCAGTGATACTTGCATTACAGGGTGATCAAGAAACCCCAATGGACCAAGAAGTGACCAAGAAGTCACCTCCTTGACAGCAGCATGGGCCAAATGGGGGAGGGCACTAGAGTGGGACTCTGGAGATGTGGATTCATTCCCAGCTCTGCCACTGACTAACTCGGTGGCCTTGAGCAAGTCATTTCACAACTCTGTGCCATAGCATCTCCGTCCATCCTTCAGGCTGTAAGAGTTCTAGGTCATGCCCAGTCCCTCACCATGGGAGGGGGAGCCACCGGCTAGCAAGCACAAGGGGGACAGCTCCTTACTCCTCCAAGGAGGCAAGAGGCCCCCTGCCAGCTCTGGATCTGTGACTCTCACCCTCAGAGACTCTTTCACCCTCCTCTGGGCTCTCCCTCTGCCCACTCTCTCCCACTCTGTGAGGGGGCTGCTCTTTAACTTGGCACCAGCCACTGTAAGAAAGCCCCTTTCATGGTCTCCCTTCTCTTCGGGCCAGCAGAATGGGCCCTGGCGCTGAGAGAAGCCAGGAGCTGCCAGCAATCATAACCTCTCCGCGAGCCCCGGGTCTGGGCACCCAAGTCTGCACAGTCACTTTATTGTCTGAAGAGAGCAATTCTGTGGTCCGTCAGGAACTTGGGAAGGAGTGGGTGGATGGCAGCATTGGCTTCTTTCCTTTCATCTCTCGCCCCCTCTCCCAAGGCCACATGGATTCAGAGTCTGTTTTCTCTGCTTTTCCTCTTCCTCCTCCTCCTCCTGTCTCACTATTCTTCTTTAGTATCCCCATCCTCTCTCATACTCAGCCCGGGCACCTGCCCGAAAGCTTTTTGTCAGCTTCTCCGCAGTGTTGGAAGTTCTGAACGGGACGCGTGGATGGGAAGAGACTTGTCCGGGGCCACGCAGCCAGGACCCGGAGTAGGAAATGGAATCTGGACATCCTGCTCCTCAAGCCATGGCTGCGACTGCAAGGCCAGCGCAGCAGCAAGGAGATCTGGGGCGAATGCACACGGAAGCTGCAGAGCCTGGCACAGGCTGTTCCCTTCAGCCTAAGGTGCACTGGTGGAGCGCTACGGAGAATGGGCGCACAAAAGACGTCGTTCCTGGCCTCCTGAAATGTAACCGCCGTGTTCCACAATGAACAGGAGCTGCACTAGCTTCACACGGCTCCAAGACCCCAGGGAAAGTGCTTGTTCTGCTCCCGGTGATTCCCAAATGTCTCCTGTCTAGTCGGTGGCGTCATTACAGACAGGTTAACCAGCCCTGCCCTCCTCCAAAGCAATCAGACTAGCACTCAGGGAGGGCCTGCAGCTCCCGTGATTATCTCTGCCATCGGCTCAGCACTGCATTTACATTCGCCTTCCACAAATGATATGAAATTAAAAGCAAATGAGTGGCATGACTGTGCCCCTTCCGTACATGCAAGTGCACAGGGCAAGGAGAGGGCAGCCATTACATGAGGTTGAGCCTGTGACACAAAGCAAGTCAGGCAAAGCAAAGCTCCCAGTCCATTCTCCGTCCTCAGCCAGGGCCCCCGAGGTCCACTCGGGTGCATTAGGTGCAGAAGGAGTTTGCCTTTTTTGTCTGCCCCACATCACAGTCTGAAACATCTTGCACTAAATCCATCTCGGCATAGTACTGAAGTCTGTGCACTTACAAAGTGAATCACCTCGGTCCATCTTGTGAGAGGACTGCCTGCTAGCATCAGAGAGATCAAACTAATTCTTTGGATACGTGAACTACATCCTGAAGTCCATTATTGATGGTTGAAGACTGTGTCTCCTTTAAAGCAACTGGATCTGACTTTGTCTCTATTTGTCTATTGTATAGAGAGCCCCCAACACTGCAGTATCTCAGCACTGACCTGTAGAGGCATGCACGAAGGTGCATTTAAAAATGCGTGCTAACCGCAAGCTCGCACATTGGCCACGCCCTCCCATGAGGCCAGGTGATAGGAGAGGCTGCTCCGATCAGCACAAACCCTACTGATTTGCTAAAACTGTATTTTGCAAAGGTCTCTTTCTGCCAAAACCACCAATCTTCCGCTCCTGTTAGTCACTGACAGGAAGCACAGGCTCTATCAGAGCCTGCTGCTGGCACGGAAGGACTGATAGATATCCCGAGCACAAGGGCTGTTATCTACGGAGGAGATAATCTTGTGCCAGCCAGCAGTGGACACTGATGTGACATGAGGGTGGGGGACATGGAGCACGTGGGACAAACTCTACCAAACAGGGCGATGCAGGGAATCGGGGCAGGAGGCTACACATGCAACAGCCTGATCTCACTGCTAGGTTGGGGTATAATGGGAACAGGCCAGTAGCAAGAGGCAACACAAGCAAAGTACCAGCCAGAAGAGTCAGTGAGCTGCTCAAGGCTTTTCTAGTGTGGCTCCACTCCTCTTTGCTCCCTGGCTTCCAGAGCGGATGTTACGATATTGCGCTGGGCTGGGAGAGCAAAATCCAACTCATGCCAAGAGAAAAATACATTGAATGAGAACAAAGGAGTGGGAGAGTGCCACACCCTGGAGCAGAGAACAAGGCCTGCACTATTTGAGTCACACTGCTCATCCACTCCCCCAGGATGTCTCCGGAGTCCACGGGTATCAGCACAGGAGGGAGGGAGCCACACACAGAGCCAGAGCCATGGAAACGCCTCTCTATACACAGAGGCATGAAAACCACAAGCTGCAAGTCATAGAAATACATCAATCTACACACCAAGCCAGGGAGATACGCGGGGCACGCACAGTCAAAACACACAGCCAGGGAGATGCTCGCAAGCTCAGGATCCACCAGGGAAACACACATGGTATCAAGGAAGCATGTGCATTGGGTCAGAAGCATGAGGATGAACGGTATGAGGGGCAGGGACAGACACAAGCGCACAAAAAGAGTCAGGGACATGCCCTGGGAAACACATGGAGATTCACAACAATACACAGGGCGCACACAAAGCAAGGAGTAGACAGTCAAGTTCTCACACACACCCTGAACCCACTCCAAACACAAAGACAAGGAAATATGCACGAGGTCAGGGCTGGATCCATACAGTCCAGAAGGCACGGAGTCATGACTCCAGACCAGTCAGGCACTCAGGCATACCAACACCGAGCACTGAGTCACTGCACCCGGAGGAACCAGCTAGCCATGTCTTGGTGCTGGGCCAGGGGTAGAAAAATGAACTTCCTCCTGCCTCACTGTCAGTGCAAACCTCAGCAAGCAAGCACTGCCTCAGATGGAGGCAAGAAAGCAAACCTCAGCAAGGAGCACTGCACTCAGGACTGCCTCATCCCTGTACTCCCTCCTCACCAGTATCCTGGCCTCTGAAAGCTGCGGCGGAAGCTGTTTAGCCTTATGTGATGCCCAAGGGCATGCAGAACAGAAGCCGGAGTTTGGGGTGGTGACATTCACATCACATATGTCATTTGAGCACCTGCACACCCCAACAGCTGCAGACAAGCCAGAGCACTGCCCAAGGACAGATCAGACCCCAGCATCCCTCTCCCAGCACACTGCAAGTCTTCCTACATCAGCTGCCCCTCCTGGGAAAAGCCTGCAGAAGGAACGAGGCTCCTGCACACAGAAGATCCCACTCTGCTTCTCTGGCCTCCATCCCTCCCCACAGGGACTGCTGCGCACTACGCCTTGAAAAGCCGCTGTGCTAAGGTGCTGTGATCAAGAGGAAAGGCCTGTGTTTTTAGTTACAAACTGAGGACACATCCTGGTTACTGGAGACGGAAAGTATTTGCAGGCAGAGGGCTCACGTGCAGATGTGTCATGGCTGTAGCGTATGTACCAAGTGGAAACTTCATTCAAGTGCCCTCAGGAACACCTCACCCATTTTCTTTTCCACTCTGTAGGAGGACTGGACACCCGGTCCCTTCCTACAGCTGGTTTCAGTCTTGACCCTTGGCTTCTTATCCCAGACAGCAATAGCCCTTGGACCTCACCAGAGTCCACCTGCACCATTTCACAGCGGGATCCTGCTTCGGCAAACTCTTCAGCATTAGGAGGTCTTGCACCACCCACCCACAGCACCACTTGCTGAAAGAGAGCAGGACCAGCAGAGCAGTGACCCATCACATCAAAACCATCCTGCACAGCATCCCTCCTGGAGGAAGCTGCTGTTACAGCTGCTCGAAATCTGCCCAACCTGTCGAACTGTGGTGTCCAGCATGCCAGGAAATCCAGCAGAACCGTGTGCAAATAACCAGAGCTCTCTGGGCATGAGGAAGACTCAGTTACAGGTGTGCTTCCCGGGCTAATGAGGGTTTTGCCCTTTAAGGCATCATTCCTTTGCTAGAAGCCATGGGTCATAAATCGCTCTCACGGGGCAGAAGGATAAGGTTATAATGAGGTTGGACAGGAAGGGAGGTGGGGACTGGGCAGCAGCAAATGGCAGAGAGGGGAGGATCAGGCAACAGTGAATTGCATGAGAGGACAGGGGGTCAGAATGGGAGAGCAGGTCGGGAGCTGGTATACGAGGTGGGACAGAGGCTGGGGCTAAGCAGTGGCAAAGAGGAGGGGAACAGCTGATAGGAAGTGAAAAGGGAGCTGCTCACTTGCTACTGTCATATTAATAACACTCAGGGCCTATACAGCACTGACCAGCCATCAATCCCAGCACATCTGGTAAGGAGGTCACTACCCTTATTCCCCTTTTACAGATGGGGAAGTGAAGGGCAGAGAATGGATTTGTTCACGGTCGCACTACAGGGAAGGCTGGACAGTCTGAGACCTTTTGCAGCATCCATCAGTCCTGAGGACTTCCCCGCAGCCATCACCGGTTTATTTACAGCAATTTATAGCGACGAGAGCCCAGCAAGAGCAGCATCAGCCAGGCGCGGGGGGCAGGGAGGAGTGCTGGAGGGGCTGCCCTTGCTCCAGAAGAACTTGTGATTGGGGTATGGTGCCTCTGTATCGACCTGTCAGCTGGGCCCTCCCCCTCCGCTCGCTCCCAGCTCCCCAGTGCCAACGTGCGCTCTCCCCAGAGATGAAAGGACCTGTGCCAGCTGGAGGCCTTGACTCTCCCCACTTTGCTGCTATCTGTGCTGGCAGCCCCCCAGGAAACACTCTCACTCTGTGTACGTCCCCCCCTCCCGTCATTTGCTCACACCGCTGCTGGGAACCGGCTTTCCCACCAGACTGCCGTCTCCCGGGCAGATTGCAGAGCAGGCCTGGCAGCAAGTGCAAGGAGGGTGGGAAATATGGGATCCAGGCACCCCGCCCATGTGACAGCACGCTCTTGCCAGGTGTTTTTCAACCTGACGTGCCCAAGATGGAGGCTGAAAGGAATTTATCGTGCGAGGCTGCTGGGCGGCTCATGCCAGGCTAGGCAGTCAGTGGACAGGCTGCAGGCAGGACTCGGGATGCTATCGGCATTATTCAAGGGGAACGGAGCCTAAGATTCATGTGGCTGCTGCAGGGAACCTGCTGAGCTCAGGAGACTGCTGCTGACAGCTGCTTAATGGAACTGGCTGGTTATGCTCCAGCACCGTCACCTTTGAATCGCACCAGCCGGGACCCCAGTTCCCTCACAGCTGCATCCCGTCAGGGCCGGGCAAGGATCCTGGGCTGTGAACTTCCTCCCACCAGTGCCCTGTGAGTGCCGGGCCTGGCTCCAAGTGCCCTGTGAGCGTCAGACAGGAAGATACAAAAAGCCAATTTCCTAGCATAGTGGCAGCGGCTCCTGGGAATGCCAGCCAAGCAACACTACTGGCTACAGCTGGGGGGGATGTATGGAAGCCAGTGCAATGCTAAGTTTCTCCTTCCTCTGTAGAGCCCACCTGCCTGCCTTGAGAGGAGAGCTTTTTCCTCTGATCTGATCTCCCAAAGTTATCTCCCCCCAGGCATGCGCTTTGCCAGCCGTCTCTGGATTAGCTCCCTCCAGCTTCTCCCATGCTCACAGGGCTGCTTTCCAGCATGTTGTGTTCAAGACCTCTCCCTCCACTGCTGGCTACTTTGCTGGGGCTTGGGTTGACATTTCAGTGAGGATAGACCATTCTAGCCCCTAGGGCCAGGTCCCCACAGCTAGTAACACTGACAGTGTTTCCTACACCAACTTCTGCAGGGAGACTCTGAGACTGAAGGGACTAGAGCCGTTCCTGCCATGCCCAGCACTGCTACAGCAAGCTGGGTTGGGAGCAGCTGCACTCACGCAGCTTCTTGCTAGGAGAAATGACAGTATCGTGGAGAGCGACTCCCCCTGACAGAGGACGGGGACCAGCAGAGCTGGGAACTCCAAGGGGCGGAGGCTGCTACTGTGGGAGAATGACCCTGTCTGGACTGGAAAGTCAGCTGGCTCTAACTGGACCAGCAACTGAAGCAGCAAATACCCTCTTAGTTTGCATGCAATGATGTCAGTATAAAAGTCCTTATAGCAGCATAGCATAATCCAGGTCAGGAAATAAATGACTGCACATCAGAACAAATGAGATGGGCAGAAATTATCTTTAAACGAGTATAACTGTGGATACATGAGGGCTTTTGCTGGAGTATCTATATAGGTAAAAATAACCCCCTAAGCCATAGGATTTTATCTTACATGCATAGGCCAGGTCTTAATGGAACCCATGCTTTGACCTCTTCATACCGGGCCTCCAACTAGCTCAGGTATTACCGGCTCATCAGTATGGAATCAGCATCTGTCATGTATTTGTCTTCCTCACCCTGTGAGGCATGGAAGTGCCTTTACCCCTGTTTTACAGAAGGATGGAGACAGAGAGACATTAAGTGATTTGCCCAAGGTCACCCAGGAATTCCATAGCAGAGTTTGAAATTAAACAGGGGTCATCTGTGCCCTGTGTTGGTGCCCTAACCACTGGACCACACTTCCTGCTTCCTGCTGGAAAGGCCAGTAATAGAGCATTCAGCCCTGAGCACGGCCCTTTTATGCAAAGAAGAAAGGAAATGCGATGGCTCGAGATGTTTTGTGACCTCCCAGAACCTGTTTCCTCTAGAATAAAAGAAAAATGCCCCTTTCCCTGCCAAGCCAGAAGGTGCACTTGTCCTGCTCCCACCTTCTCTCCCCTTCATCCTGGGATCGGAGTCTCTCTTTCCAGGGTGCCATGTTTGGTGTTCTGTGGTTTGCCCCTCTGCTACATTAGCTCCAAAGGGAGGAACAAATGAAGAGAGAGAAGAGGTAAGACTTCATCCAAGTAGAGCAAAGTCAGCCCCTTCCTGATGCCCAGTGAGACCTTTGCAGGCAGCTCCACTGCGTGGGCTTTGAATCTGCCAGGAGCATGCTGCTGCAGCCTAACAGTCGGTTTTTGTTTAATTTTTTTGTTTGCCACCAGCCACTCCTCTCCGATCAGAGCCAGATTCCATGTTTGTTTGCCAACAGCCACTCCTCTCCGATCAGAGCCAGATTCCCCCAGCAGGACTGATGAGATGCAGGAGAACCAGCTGTGTCACTGCAGGAGTTGTGAGGAAGGAAGCCAGTGGGAGGAGAGCAATTCTTCCCGGCAGGGCTGCTGTGGGTGATTCAGCAGACGGGGCATTCTCCTCTAGCAATGAAGGTGCAGTGCTCATCTACAGCACCTCTCCTGTTCCCGTCTGTAATCCCAAAACATGTGCAATCGACTGTCCCCTTCTTAGAGCTGGGGAAACTGAGGCACAGAAAGGGGCTGCAAGGCCAGCCAACAAGTCAGTGGCGGAGCCGGGAATAGAGCACTTAGCTAGAAGGACAATAAATGAGAATATCATAGTACAACAAGGCCAGACGCGACCTCAGAAGGTCACCTCATCTAACCCTCTGCTCAAGGCAGGATCATCCCTGTCTAAACTATCCTAGATAAATGCTTGTTGAGCCTGCACTTAAACACTTCCAGTGGCAGAGATACCACAGCCACAGGCACGCTTTCTGATGTTGTAGAAAACCCTTAGGAGGGGGAAACAGAACCCAGGTGTCCAGCTTCCCAGGCTGTCTGGTGTAATCATTAGACCGCATTCCAGCCCCTGAACGCTGTTTCTTGGCAGTACCGGTTTGTTCTAGTCCTAAGATGCCTCATTCATATTTACTACTCTAGATGACCAGAGAGTGGAATAAAGCCCATTTGTGTGGAAAGCCCCATGGCACTTGAGATGCAACACAGCCAGGGCTGAAAGGGCCTCTCTGGATGACTGCCAGGAGCACTTTGGGATGTCTGTCTGCTGAGCCTGAAGATTTGGGCCCAGGTGGAAGCAGCAGTGTGCGCTGTTCAAAAGGAGACAGAATGGAGGTCATCAGTGATCAGCTAAAGCCTATGTAATTTTTAACTGAAAAACAAGAAAGAGCCAGGCCCTGCACTGCATTTCTCATTGCAATCACTGGAAGTAAAACCCTGGGTAATATTAAACCTGCCTCCTGTCCAGGTATGCAAGTGTAACCAACTGAGACACGCATCTGCTGAGAAAGCTTTTAGGAGAAGCCAGGGAAATCAGGAGCATAACTCACTTTCTTGGTGGCCTCTAGCGGCCAAAGGGAGGCATTTAAACTTCAGCAAGAGCATCCCAGTAAATCACATCTCTCCATTCCTACTTCACCAGCATGACAAGCTCCACCGAGCACTGCCAAAACTGGAAGAGACCTACCTTGTAGAGGACCTTACTGTGCAGGGAGCTGAAGAGAAGGGAAACCTCGCACATAGAAAGAGAGAACCTTTCACCAATCCTTCCCAAACATGTGGTGTCGTCTGGAAAACCACACAGGGCTAGAGCGATGATTCACATTTTCCCAGCAGAATCAGATGCAAGTGTCCAAGGGTGCTGATAGTTCACTACTAGAACGCGGAGAACGGCACAGCGTGGAAGCCTGAGCTTAGGACTAAACTATGGGGAAAACAAGCAGGCACAAAGCGCAGCCATTTGCAAGCTGTGTGACATGGACTCTAGTTCTCAGTTAAAGCAGGCCCTGTTTCTACCATCAGGTAAAGGGGACAGCTGATGTCAAACCAACCTGAAGGCACGGCTCCCAGCCCCTGACACTGTAAGACCATAAATTACCATCAGTCCCAGGATTTCTGTAGCTCCCCACAGGGACAGACTCTTGCAGGGACCCAGAACACAAAGAATATAATTTAAAATCACCACGACCTCTCTGCCCAAGTGCAGGAATTGTATAGCTGAGCCTTGTATTCACGTATGCGCATGAGAACAGTGCTTGGTTTGATGGGTTTTATCAAAATGCATTTAAAATGATAGTGAGGAATGCAGGGTGTATTGGGAATAGCAGGCTGAAACAATGGATGGGAAAGACAAAAGGGAGAAATGGAAAGTGTTCAAAGACAAAATTATCATCTCCCCTGGGGCAACAGATTCTCTCCAGCAATGAAAACCAAGATAAGGGTGAAAAAGTTTTTAGGGAGAGTTTTGTGCAACACAGGAGGATTGGAAAGGGCATAGGAATGGAATTAAGTGGTTGGAAAATGCACAAGAGCAAAGAGTAAGTTTAATTTCAGCAACTGGTGTGATAGGGAAAGCATTAACAGGATAAGAACAGGTCAGCTGAATTCAGAAAAAGATCAGAAAGCGAGAGAGAGAGAGAAAGTTCTGCAAAGAAACCTGGAAGACTCAGGAGGAGGAAGTGGTGCATAGCCTCTCCCTTGTTTTTCAAGGATATTTTTGAAGACAACACCGTGCACAAGACTACTCGACAAGAACAGTGCGTGCAGTCTGCTGTTTGCGTGCAGAAGGAACGGGCTTGGCCATCAACCACCCAGGGGTCTGGCACATGGAAGCAGTTGGGGAAGGTGGGAGCTGGCAAGCAGAGAGCCATGGGAATCAGTAAACAGGATCAATTTTGTTTAATGACCTGGAAGAAGGAAAATGCAATTGGCTGATAGAATGTGCTGATGGTAAAGCTGGGAGGGAGGGAAAGCCTGCTGTAGGAAAGAGGAGTTCAGTCAATTCAGAGCAATTTGGATTGTGTAGGGGAGCAGGGCAGAAATCCACACTGAAATGATACAATGCAGGAAGGGAAATAACCAGGCCGCAGACAGCACTCTATAAACGCTGAGTTGAAGAAGAACCTGGGAGTGGCAGACGCAATCCGAAAACCTTTGACATGGGGTGTGAATGCAGTAAAAGATCAAAAGCAACAGTAGGCTACATTCAGAGACGGGAGATGACCCTGGATCAGCATGAGGGATCACAGAGAGCTCCTCGAGAAATCTCTGCACTTCTGAAAAAGCAGGGAAAGCAGAGCACAGAAGTGGAGCCACTGCAGAGGGGAGCACAAAGGGCATCAACGAGAGTGGATAAGCTTTGGGAGGAATTCACTGAAGTGAGTGCATATGAAATTCTCGGAGGAGAAGGCAGGCCACGTCCTGCAAAAGCCTTCAAGCTATGGACAAATGCAAGAAGCAAAGAACATGAACTTAAGCGGAGACAGGAACACACTGGAGAGGAACACAGGCAGAATACCTTTGTGTGAACAGTGCTGACAAATGAGCCCAGGGAAGAGAGCAGGGACAATAACTAAACTTCTCAACGTACCGGTATGGTACATGGCTCAATATTTACGAGGTAAGTACTGAGGCACGCACACACAAAAGCTCAGATCCATCAGGGTATTTGGGAGCCTCAAACTCCAATGGCATTAGACAGGAGTCCAGTGCCTACATATCTTGGTGGCTTCACGCTTAAGTGTTTTTACAGCATAGTAAAAGAGAGCAGGAAAGAGACCTGGGGAGGGGGGCGATTCCTGAAGAATAACGCTTTGGGCTCTTTTTTCCTGTATAGTTATCTCACGTTATCTGCACTTGAGGTCTCCTCTTGAGTTAGCTTAGTTCAAGTGGTCACACTGCAAAACAACACACCAGCTGCAAAGTGACTGGGCTGACAGCACAGGGTAGCTGTGTCTCCACTGTACTTTTGACATAATGGTCAGCAACACTCCAGCTTCAAACCAAACCTTCTGACAGGCCAGGCTTAAACACCTTTCACTCATACTGAAGATCTGCCTGTGTGGATGGGAGCTGGGCAAGGAGCAGCACTGGAACTATACCTTGAGTTAACACCACAGTGAGCTCAAGCCCATAACCTACTGGACTGAAAAAATATCACATGTGTGGAGAGTGAGGGGGGAAGAGATCATCTGAAGGAAAAAAACTGTAAACTCCAAAAACACTTGAGAGTGGGCGTGCAATACAAAGAGAATGACCTAAATGTAATTTTTGCTCTCGGCCTTGGTTAGCTATTTTTAGCAGCTTGCTGGGTTCAAACCAGAGAACTCTGCAACGACTAGAGAGCAAGGGGGGCAACAGGAGACAGCAATTTTATTTTTTTTTTAAATACCTGGAACATTTAGTCTTTTAAATATGCTCATGTGTTTGATTTTCTCCTTTGGGGTTTCAACAACATTCCTGATAAGCACCTCGCGGGTTCTGTTTGCAGGAGCAAAGTCCAGATGGACGATTCCAGTTCACACATGTGAAAGGGCGTTTTTCAGACCGATCCATAGAAACAAGAACCCACCCAATCTTCAGGCCTAAATTAACTTCATCAACAACCAAGGTGACACGGAGAGCCTTACTTAACCAGATCCAGAAAGAGCTGCGATTTCTCTGCAGCTATAACATGGGTCACGTTGTTTCAGAGGTCTCTGCTCTGGAGTTACTCTAACAAGCTGCATTGTATTAGCAGCCTTGGGCATATCATATGCAATGCCCCTTCCCCTCCTGGTGACACCCTAGCTGACTGTTGCCTAGCTATGTCCACAAAACAGAACCTCAGCAGGGGCAGAGCTGCAAACTTACTCCGTTACCAGCACCAAAGAGCAGCTGAACTCTCACAGATTTTATCCCCTTTTCCCTGCCATACTTGAGAGCTAAGTCAGAAAGAGGTGTGCCACTGGCACGGCAAAATAACCTTTTTTATTTCATCCCATACAAGGCTCTGCTCTGCCCGGCACAGCATGACCCACAGGTTTTCTTCCCCTGGCAGCTTCAAATAGATGTAGGTATATATTTATACATGCACAACTTGTTCAAGTTAACAACATTCCTCTGCTATAGTGTCATTTGTGGAAAGAAAAGGGCAGATTGTACTAAAAAAAAAGGATTAAAACAATCCTTCAGTTCCTTTTAAAGCTGTGTTTCTTTCAGTGCTTATGTTGGCAAGTCTGGGAGATGGGCAAAGACAGTTATTTTTGCCCTCATTTCAGAAGCGTAAAGGCAATCGAGGGATAGGTAACGCGATCCTCACACTAATGTTTGGCCCAGCGAGGATTAGTGAGCCTGGTGGAGCTGGCATTTAGGACTAGACTGACATTTATGAATGCTTCAAGCTTGGGGTGTATGTTGCTTGGCAGTTCTTAGGTAGATAAGCCGAGGCAGCGAGCAGCTCCCCGAGAAGGCAGCTAGGACTGGGCATGGGCAGTGGTGCTACAGCAAAAGTAAGATTTATTTCATCGTCAGAGAGTAGCTTCGTCTGCCTCCCTACCTCCTCTCACAAACAATAAGTGCTTGATTTACAGAACGTGCACGCTTGTGAAATGTAGACGCTCGGCACTTCTGCATTGCTGTAAGGCCTGTGAATACAATGCACATGCCTAGCCATGACGACAGAAATATAGGAAGTGTCAAGTCATCGGCACAAACGTCTCACTGAATACCACAAAACCCTTCCTTGTAGGAGAGACGGAGCCTTGAAAAAACCTGCCTTAAGACTTAGTCCAAAAGCACGGATTTTGCCTCCATAGGAGCGAGAGCTGGCAGGGTTACAGATGCAAGGGTCAGCCTTGCCCACTTATAGACTCTGCTATATGATGCGTCTTCTTCAAGCAGCTATTTATGTCTTGTGATAAGCCTGCTTCCTATGGTATATGTTTCAACTCCTTTGATGACGGTGTCACGAAGCTGTCTTCAAACTGGCAAGATCAGCATTACAGATTTGCTTTGGCCATCTTAGTACCGCAATAGCCATGGAGCAATCTGTTGATTGCTGTGATTTCTATATTTTCAAGAATTATGCAGCGATGGCGAGGGTGCAGCCTGCATCCTCTTTCACTTCTGAGCTTGTTGCAGCTGGTATAGTGAAAAATGCCAACGCCCTTTCAAGAACTTGTAAGAGGAAAGAACTGGCAGCTTCTAGGTTAAGCACCAACTTTATGATTTACCACTACTGATAAGAAAAGGAAAGGCAGCAGTGGCCTCAGAGTCTGGCTGCCACAAACCAGCTCAGCTTGGCTCCCTGCTGCAATCTCTCTATTGCACTTACTGCAGCTACGCTTTAGGAAAGACTCTGTTTTACCCTGGCTCTTTGTATGCAGACACTGAATGTTATGAGAATATATTGAGAAAAGAGTCTTAAAACAACCAGACCCCTCTCATCTTAGAAGTGCAAGAGGATGTTACTTTCAGAGTAGGACTGGGTAAACAGGTTTAAGGTGAGGCAGAACTAAGAACCCCAGAACTGAACAAACGTAGACACTAAAAAATTCCTTTTTCTCCACTAAAGAGGGCAAGAGCAAGTGCATGTCAGAGAGGAGAGAACTTGATATTCATCGTAACATTAGCCACTGCTATCTGCACAATCCCCTTTCATACCCAGGGATCAGAGTGCTTTACAAAGCCCATCAAAAAAGTAAAGGTGAAACCATTCTAGAGTTTGCAGGTGACTTAGGTGCCTCAGTCAGGGGGACCTGGGCTCCAAAATCATTTCGGTGCATTTGAAAATTTCCCCGACCTGACTTCCCCGAGTGAGGGGGTGGCAAAGGTAAGAACAGAACCCACAGCCAAAGGATACTGCTTTTTCCTTAAAAGCCACTTGTAATCTTATCAGAACTGTACTAATACGGCTACAACCTGGAAACCTGACACTTGCAATCTTAAGCATTTTTTGACCAGTTGCCTGCTGGTTTTAGTTCAAGCTCTACTGACATCCGCTCCAATTAGCAGAAGGGGATGGGAGGTGACAAAAAGCTCTGCAATGCCATTAGAAAGGATTGCAGTCCACTCCCAGCCTGGCCCCACACATTTCTTTAAGGCATCCGCCTCCTCATGTGCGGCTCAGAGCCGCCTCTCAGTGCAACTATTTCTTGCCTAGAGCAGGCTGAATGGTGAAGACATTCTGCCAGTCAGGGAAGAAAACCCAATCAGGGCAGGGAAGGGGCAGGCTTAAGGTTGCACAAAGAAAAATCCCCACCTTACTCCAAAAACTTGCAAAAATGAGAGGGGAGCAGCCCAGAGCTTGACCTTGGCCTTTGGCAGGCAGGCTCCGGCCATGACCTCATCTAAGCTATGCCTTCCAGAGATGGGCATGCTTTAGATCCAGCCGCCTGGCCTTTAACCTGCCTTGGACTGCTGGAAGGACCCAGCCCCTGCAGCTGTCACTCTCCGCCTGCTAAAAATGTTCAGAAGCCAGGAGCCAGCTCGCCTTTCTCCGCCCTCCTCCTCCTCCTCTCTGACCAGGATTGGAGGAATCCAGTGTCAGCCTGCAGCTGGTATTGCAGCTGGTGTCCAGGGGAAATAAGTGAGAAGACTGCTTGGAGGCCAGAGGACTCTGGTTTCTAACACAGTTTATTAATAACACAAACACCCCCCCCCCATGCTAAACCCATGTCCAGTCCAGAGCAGGAGGAACTGGTCTCCTGGAGAGAAAGGTAAGAACTAACAATTGCAAACTGGGTTTGGGCTTTTTCCCTTGTCAGGGTTCAGATGGGAGAGGGCGTGGATGTGATGTGCTGAGCACTTCGGAGGGCATCTGGCGGGGCGGGGGGGGCCGTCAGCCTCAAACAGCATCCGCCCTTTGTGCTGGGATGCACTCGGAGGACACAACAGGTCCATTCAGCATATAGGGCAGTACACTTGCTTCAGGGAGCAGCTTCATTCATTTGACAGGTTTGCAAGATCTGCCGGGAGTTTGCGTTTGCACTGTGTGCTCAAGTCCAGATGAGTCCGGTTCCCAGCTGGTTTGCTTGGCTCCGGTCTGTGCTGGGGGATGTACTGTATTTCACCACTGGACCCTAAAGAAGGAACTTCTTACCTGTCAGGTGGGAGTGCCTTGGATGAAGTGGAAACGCAGACCTGCATGTCCAGGCTCACAAGAAGGCAGCTGGCATGGGGAGTGTGCTGGAGCTCTGCTCTGCCAGGGTGGGACTGCAGGCTGCGGAGCTGGGCAGTTGATCTGTTTCAGGATGAAATCTCACCAGAGCAGGGCAGGCGTGGCAGGGATTATTTCCCGGTTGCTGTTCTAGATATGCAGAGGGGTATCAAGGCAGGCAAGTCAGTCGGAAATAGGCTGTCATGAGCTGCCTCACATTTTCATAGATCGTTCCCTTTCTCCCTTAAGAAGTAAGTGTCAGACATGCTGCTTCTGAGGCTAGGATGTGTCATGATTTCAGAATGCTGCCTAATTTGGAAAAGGAGAGAGTATCAGTGAAAATTGCCCGTTCTCTTGCCTTACAACTGTTTTAACGAGTGAACCACTTGCCGTTAATTTGCCAGTCTATGCTAATGCATTTCGAAATGACTAGACATTTGGTCAGATCCTTCCGGGCAGCAAGTGCGCTGCCTATCAAGACTTCAGCACTCTTCCTCTCCAACTCTGCTCCGAACTGGGTGTGGTTTTGGCTTCTCCCCTGAACGTATTCTAACGTATATATCTTTTTAAACAGCGTAAAAGGCTTTTCACAACAGAAGACTGTTCTCTCTTCACTACCCAGTGGGCACATTAGTTTAAACTAGTGATGATGGAAGAGTTTTGACAGCAAAAAGGTGCATTAGCAGATGAATGAATTAGATCATAGCTGCAGAGGCGAGGTAAGGGATGACTCTACCATTGCTTCCGGGAAAGCTGAACGTGCTCGGCTGTGTGTTAAATGTTTTAGCCCACCCACAGCCATCTTGGAGAGCCCACGTGTATTCAAACAGCACATTCTCTCCCTCCAGGACTCTGTCAGCATTGCTGAAAACCAGACAAGTTTCACTGGAAATCTATAACCTGGCAGTATGCATTTCTGCCAATCTGACATTTTGTAGACAAATATTTTGTGTATATGCACTTGTAAAAGGCCTTTATTTGACTTCCCATCAGCCAGAATAAGAAATTATCTTAAAAACAAGATAAAAGACTTAAACTGAATGCAGCAGTTAAAATGCCCATAAGCAGGGAAGGGGAAGGAGCAGGAAATAAACACAGTGGCCTAGTATTGGGGGCATTCAACTGTGGTTTAAGAGACCTGTGTTTAATTCCTACCTCTGCTACTGAACTGCCACGTGACCTTGGGCAAGGCACTTTCCCACCTCCCGCCTCAGTTTCCACATCTGTAAATACTCTTCCTTTGTAGCCCATTTGAGGTCTGCAGTTGAAAAGCAATACCACAGAGCGAGACATTATTGTGTTGGACTTAAGGGTTCCAGCTAACACTAGACATTTTGTTAGGCACTGACCAAAGAGCAAAAAAAAAAAAAAAAAAAAAAAAAAAAAAAAAAGTTCCTACCCAAGGAGTTTTAATTCTAAAGAAAAAGCAGATACTGCCTAACAAACACAAAGGCTTTTAGGCTTTTCTAACACACACATCTCTAAAAGCAGCTGGCTCCATCTCACACACCATGTACAAAGGAAAAAGTATGATGCCTGAATTTTAATACAACAAACCACTGGCAGCAAATGCCATCACCTATTTAAATAAACAAAAATTCAGTGGAGTGTAACTCTATCTTTGCTTTAAGAAGTTCACGTGACCAGAGAATCCCAAACGCCGAGAATCTCCTCCTCTTCTGATGAAAGGCAGTGTGAAAAAACAGTGAGCAAACGAATTAGAATCATTTGGTCTTTTCCCCATGCCAGGTAGCAAAGAGGAATCAGAAACACCCTCTTGCTTCCAGTGGCCCGAGTGGAGAGGTTATCTCTACCTTGGTATTTACAATATAAGCATCAGCGTAGTCTAGGAGGTAGTTTTATATCAGCATCACAGTCGTTTGCTAGTCAGATCCTCCAAGGTATAATGGTTTACGCTATCCATCCTATGTTATCATCTGTCCAGTCATGCTGAGAATCACCAGAACTGCAGGGAGTCTTTTAAATTATAACAGTAAAACTCTTCCTTCATTCCAGGTAATTTAAAAGGTTTTGCTTGGTTGTTCTGGCTTTTGGCAAAGCCAAACATCTTTAAAAAGCAAAACTGTTGTTAGACCATGCCCTACACATTAATAGAAACCAATACAGTAACTTCCATGCTGAACTGACAAACAGCTTCAGATAGTTTAGGTGCTTGTGGGCGCATCTACATGAGACGCTTTACTGACTAATCTTCTGCGTAGTAAAGCATCACTGCCTATTCATGCACAACATTTACCACACAGTAAATTAGTCTACTGTGCAGTTGGCTACTACCTGTAGATTGGGGCGCAGGGCTAGGAAATAGCTGCTGGGGGAGGGGTTGGTTTCCCAGCCCTGCACCCAGATCTGCCTGACCCTGGTGCCCCCTGGCAGCCTGGAGCTCCCCTGGCTGCTGTAGGGGGGGCAGAGCAGGGCAGGAGTAGCACTGCACTGAACTGTTCCTGTCTGGAGCAAATTTGCTCCCAACAGGTGCTCGTGTAAATGCTCTCCCAGGGAAAGCTTACTGCACAGTAAGCTTACAGCACATTCATAGCACATGAAAACGCACCCTGTAAGGGACACCAAGGGCATTAAGTACATTTAAAATAGCCAGTGATGGAGACTTCAACAGAAGCAGATCTTAGATGCGTGCACCATTAGTGTGCCTGTTGTAAGGAGGCCTGTTTATCTGGGAAGGTTTATAGGGATTGGGACATCTGAAACTCACAGTAAGCATGCTTCCAACTCACACATCTTGTCTCATTTCTAGGGACCTGATGGCTGACTCAGAGCCCCCTTTGGAGTCACCATTGGATGATGCAAGTGCAGCCCTGGACCCAGAGGAAGATGTTACAGAAACCCCTTTATATTTGGAAGTGGAAGCTGACCCCTTGGAGTTGCCTGTGGATGTTGCAAGCAGCCTCTTGGAGCCAGATGCTGCTGAGTCCCAGAGCTTGACCATTGAGGAGGTGGGGGAGCGTTTCCAGGAGTGCATTGATGCAGTGGAGCAGCTGGAGAAGGAGAGGGATAATCTTATCCAGGAGCTCACACTGCTCCGGGAGCCTGTCCTGCAAGAAATCAGACAAGCCCATGAGGAGATATTGACGGCTTACAAACTACTTGCCAAAGTGGAGCTGGAGCGGGACAACCTCAGGGATGAGATCCGACAGATCAAGCAGAAGCTGTTCAAAGTGACCAGGGAGTGCGTGGCTTGCCAGTACCAGCTGGAAAACAGACGGCACGACATGGCCCAGTATGCTGCCTACAGGGATGAACTGGAATCCAGGGTCAGCGAGCTCTCGGAGGAGCTGTCCCAGCTGAAAGAGACTTGTGAAAAGCAGAAGGAACAGTTCAGGCAGCAGCTGGAGGCACCCCAGAGCCGCAGGGACAGCCACTATCTGCAGGAGAGCCGGAGGCTTTCCATGGAGTTTGAAAATTTTGTGGCGGGGGGGGGGCAGGGGCGGG